AGCATGAAGAGGCTAGGGAAAGAATATTTTTAAGGCCAGGAGGTGGTCGAGAATACTCACTGCTAGTCGGAAGTGGCTGATAAGAAAATACTAGCGCTGGTGAGTGAAGCTGGCGGCCTAGGAGTGGTCGAGAATACTTGGGAAACTAGAAGTGGTTTAAGAATACTAGAGTTGGTGAGTGAAGCTAGCCAACCAGGAGTGGTTGAGAATACTCGTGACCAGGAGTGGTCGTGACCTGGGTGGTCTATAATACTCAATGCTAGCCTGAAGAGGCTGATAAAAAAATACTAGCACTGGTGAGTGAAGCTGGAGGGCCAGGAGTGGTCAAGAATACTCACGACCTACTACAACAAGGATAATTGGAGTATGTATCCTAACGCAGGAACAGTTTGAATATTGTCTTTTAGTTTCGAAATCACAAAAAATGAAAATTATATACAAATATTAGTTTGATGATCAAGTTAGTGAGTAGTAAATTAAAGATAAAGAATTGAAGTTACATATACGTACATGTATCTTGTACCCCTTTATTTATAATACTTGTGTGTTATATTAGTGGAGTACGAAGTTACCTTTTAGATGAGCGGTTACTTATGAGATAGATAATTACTTATCGTTTTGGACAATGTATAAGTTTCAAGTTCTGAATTTTGGAAAAGCAAAAGAGCTTAAATTATTTTTAGATGATCGAACTTAATTTAGTTGTGATGTATTTTGGGTTTAGATTTAATATTGACCTTATAATATTAAGCCTAAAATTGGCTTGAATAGTTCATGCTTACTAAGATTTAGGTTTGAATTTAGTTTTATATAAGTTTATGCTCGAACTTGACCTTCTAATGAGAATCGTGTAAGGAAAACTATATTTTATTGCATATGTATAAAAAGTTCTGCCACTTAAAAATATTTCTCCTTTCAAGACCTTTACCTATACCCGAGGGATTAAATTGCTTAACTATCATTTCAAGCTTTAAATATGACAAGCTTTTATGAAATAGCTTAACTATCATTTCATGCTTTAAATATATATGATAAGCTTTTATTGTTAAGTCATAGATGGCTAATCACTTGGAATCCAACCTTGTTAATACTAAAGTAATTGGTTAAGGCTAAAAACTCAATAGGTATGAAATTGACTAAGTTAAAATACTTTAAGCTAAGTAAGATGTATATGCAGTCAAATTAATTAGGTAAGTTAAATATACTAAAAGTCAATTTAACTATCCTAGTTAATTATATTGTTGAATTAAAAATATTTTAGGCTCAAATTGACCTTTTTTAGATAACTCGACATTTATCCTTACTTTCTAATGAAGGCTCTTAATACTTTGGTTAAAAAATATATAACTAATTCTTTTGAACTTGTTGATTAAACAATTTGTTGATTTTTGTAATAATATATTTGAATCACATTTTTTAGCTTATGCTCAACATAATGTTTGTTGTTTAGCTTTCTTTAACTTGACTATTGTGACTTTTTATTCGGTTAACAAAATTTGTTCTACTTTACTCCTAATCATTAAGGAGTACCAGTTTTCGATTCAATACTCATATAATAAGTTTAAACTTAACTTTTTGTAATAACTTTGTCTCTTATTACAGAAGAGGCTCAAACCTTACCAAGCTAAAAGTCAACGTTTTGTTAAAAGGACTTGAACTTAGTCTTTAATAAGAATAAACTTGAATTCAACTTCTATAAAATAAGCTCGAACTCAGTCTTTAATAAGAATAAGCTCGGATTCAACTTATGTAAAATAGAACTCAACCTTTAATAAGAATAAGTTCGGATTTGACTTATATAAAATAGGTTCAAACTCAACCCTTAATAAGAATAAGTTTAGACATGACTTTTGTAAAGTAGATTTGGATATAACGTTTAATAAAAATAAATTCAAACACAATTTTTGTAAAATAAACTCAAACTCGACTTTTGTAAAAATAGACTCAAACTCGGTCTTTAATAAGGATAGATTTGGTTTTAACTTTTATAAAATAAACTCAAACTCGACTTTTAACAAAAATGAATTCAAACTCGACTTCTATAAAATTAGGCTCAGACTTAGTCTATAATAAAAATAAGTTTGAAATCGACTTTTTAGGTTCATATTTCATCATTTAAATATTTGAGCTTTTATTTGACTTCTTGTGGGTGTTGCTTGAATTAATTATTCATTGTCAAGTGTTAACAATGAATACTTGCATAAAAATGAGAGGTTATAATATCAAAATGGGTCATGTGTGTCTCTGATATCATGGAAGATTATACAAGAAATATAATAATTTATAACAAGCATAGAGAAATGACCCTTATAATACTTGCAACCTGATTCCATATCACAAATAAAATCATTGACCGAAATATATATTAACTATGAAAATTGAATAGTAATTCTTCGAGGTATATTGTAATATTTGATGACATGATATGTCATCTTACGTACCTAATTTAACTTAAAAATATTCACAATATATAAGAATTTGTTCCTTAAAGAAAAAATAAAGACATTTAAGAACGTTGGACAAGCTTTTTCCTTTAGATTAACGATATATATGCTACATTTGAATAATTATTTGAAATATATATTTTTATTAATTAAAATTATAATGATAAGACGAGAGCTCAAATTTAAAATCTTGTACATTTTATACCAACACTCCACGATACAATGCAAAATGGTTAATTTATACTAAAAACACTATTATTTAACTCATCTGGATATGATCCATCCCACGTTCTAGTTTTGCAAAAGAATTAATCCAGCCACCTCACATTAAACATTTTACATTTATTTATGAAAACATTAGAAGCGACACAAGAAAATAACAATACAACAACAGACTTTATATTATTTTATTCTGAAATTCTTCATCCATTAAAGTTTCACATGCACTTACACATTTGGTGCTTTGATTATTGCTCAAAGTTAATTGAGCGTAACAGGGATAAACTCTCTCTGAAAAGCTCAGTTGCGCGATTGTGCTGTTTTAAAGCATCATTCAACAATATTGCTGATTCCTTGGCCTTTTGTCCCGCCCATACAATCTCATCGGTTGTTTTTCTTAAAGTTAGCAATAGCTCTGCTGCATCGGCTATCTCAATCGCCGTATCAATGAGTTCTTGGTTACTGTAGTTCTCACGCGTTGTGAGTTCTTCCAACTGTGAATAGATATTTTCCGATAAAGTTGCATACATTTTCCCCGTTCTTGCTACATTCAGTTCGCCTTCTCCGTAATTTAATTGGGAACCTGTTTATACATCCAGCCACACTTTTTGAGAAATTCTTTTTTCTTTTTGGAAGTTACATATTATACATAACTCAAACAGAATAATATATATCGTATCACTAATTAATACATTATTTGGTTCTTTGATTTTTTAAAGAAAATTCTATTAAGTTCCTAAACAAAAAAAACACAACGTAATTAAGTTCATTTTGTAATTTAGTCTTTATTGTTAGAAATTCATTTACAATCTATAAAATTACACAAAATGTTTTTCATACCTACATACCTGGTAACTATACTAGATTATCATTTAATTTGTGTTATCTTCCATATGTATCAAGAATATTTTGTGAAAAATTTATAGATTGTAAATAAATTTCTAATTTCAAAGGCTAAATTAAAAAATAAAAAAAAGATATATGAAAGACATAACTATATTTTTTTAATTTAAGCTGACTAAAAAATTCTAAAAACAAATGATATATTAAATATTTTTAATATAATTATATTTTTTAGCTCCACAACAATATCTTTATCCAAATTTTAACACATGTGACACTCTATCTCATGGATTCAACTTAGACTCACCTCATTATCCTAATACATCATCTTAATGTAAATCTCATGTCTACATGCCATCATTGTTTCATTCTCATATCACATCATTCACCAATATTTCAAATGTTGCATATAATATTCTCAAGTCAAATATCAACACCTCTTCACATTATGCATAACCATTCCCTATAACATCATGTATAATCATCTCTTATCTGTCACATATAAATTTCTCATGTTACGCATAAACATATCATATCATGCACATCACATAAAAACATCACATATTGCATTCAAGCACAAAGTCTTAAAGTACAATGTAAAACAAACATAATCTTTTATCCTTATCATAACTCACTCACAAATATACCCTCTCATTCTTTCTCTTTCATAACTATTGATATAAGTTTCTAAAATCATCTTCAAGATTAAATACTTAAAGGATAAAGCAACTCACTAGTACAACTCGCAAACTGTACTTAAAGGATAAATACTTATGATATCAAGGTGATCTCAATTTTGTTCGAAAGCTAAAACAATTATCTATAACTTCTATTTTGATTCCAAGAGTTAATTTTGACATCTATTATATTTAAAAATTATAAAATTGTAGCATTTCAGGCTAAATTTAACAATTTGACTTTTGCTCACTAATTTGATTATAACTTGTGTTATAGATCTTCTTTTTGAGTGATTCTAATAGAATTTGAAAGCTAATATTTAAGGCAACAACTCTTGTGCAAACATCAAAGGCTAATTTGATCATTTAAGACGAGTGTGCAAATGGGTGCACACTTGTGCCTGATGTTGTTCAAAACGAGATTCTTTCAACTCTTGTTGCACAAGCATGCAACGTGGTCCACATGTGTGCCATTTGATGCCTTGAGGGAAAATTCATTACAGTGAAGTGCAAAAAATTGTGCAATTCACACTCAAATCAATTCTCTCAATTCAATTGATTACTAGAATAATTGATATACTCAAATATACTTCCATATCATCAATTAATCAAATAAATACATCACTATCATAATTTATCATCAATTTTATCAATCTTTACACTCCTCTAATTCAAGGGTTTCTGTGGGCACTCATAGATTCACAAATAATACAAATATCATCCACAAAACTCATATGAATCATATACGAAGCACAAATTTTCATCATACAAATCAAAATCATGAATTTCTCCAACAATTAGATATCCAAGCAAAAAAAGATTGTAATTTCCTAACCCAACAGATTATATGACTCTAAAAGGAGAAAATCTTCACTCTTTCTTACCTTGTTGAACACTTCCAAACAAACGTGAATTTTTAGCGTGATCTCTTTCTTGATCTACACACAGTTCATAGCACAAAAAAGAAGAGCATATATAAGATAAAAAGTAAGAAGTGTAAACAATCAACAGTTAAAATTCCTTTTTATATTAAAAATAACTTCTTCCCTTCTTTCTTTTTTAAAGAAAAACATAATTAAATATACAATTATATATTAAAAAAAACATATTTTTCAAAATACATACAATTACATAGTTAATTAAAACATATATTTTCTATAAATATATGTTATAAAATTCTCATAATATAAATCAAAATCATAAATTTTTCCAAGAATCTACAAGCAAAAATATTGTAATTCCCCAATAGATTAATTGACTCCGAAAAGAGAAAATATTCACTTCCTCTTACAATATTGATGAGTAAACTTAAACAAACGTGAATTTTCTCGATGTGCACCAGCAGAGAAAGCGAAATGTGAATTTGTAGGACGATCTCCTTCTTCATCTATAGGCAGTTCTTCATAACACAAAGAAGAAGATTGTAAGGTAAAAAAACAAGAAGTGTAAATTGTCAATGCTTAAAATCCCTTTTTATAATAAAAATAACTTCTTCCCTTCTTTCTATTTTAAAAAAACAAAATTAAACATCCCACAATATAAAAACATATTTTCCAATATACATATAATTACATAGTTAATTAAAACACATATATATTTTTAAATATATGTTTTAACATTCTCCTTATACAAATCATAATTATTAATTTCTCCAAGAATTAGATATGCATGCAAAAAAATATTGTAATTCCCCAACCCCAACAGATAAACTGACTTCAAAAAGAGAAAATCTTCACTCCTTCTTATTTTGATGAGTACTTTCAAATAAAGGTGAATTTTCTTGGTGAGCACTAGCGAACGAACAAACGTGAATTTATAAGGTGATCTCCTTCTTGATCTACGGCCAGTTTTTTAAAATATTTTTTATAATAAAATAATTTCACAAATCTTCTTTATTAATTAAAAACACTCACAATTATTAAAATAATTTAAAATATTTTATAAAACTCTTTTAATTAATTAAAACATATTTTTTTTTAATAATTTTTAAAAATTTAAGATATTACAACATACAATAACATTTTTAATTAGATAATAATATATAAACACTTTTTTATATCTGAAAGTCTTATTTCTTTCTTAATATATAAATACTTTCATATATCAAGAAACCTCTTTTTATCCGCAAATATTAGTAAATTTATGAGTTACGTTTATCAAAGAGATTTAAATTCACTTTTTAACACTTCATTCCTATGATTCCTCTCACACCACCTAAAACACCTAATTAATAACTCCTAGCTATATCAAATATCTTGTTAACACTTAATTTCCTTTTATCTTTATTTTGTTTCTAAAATTGTTGAAGATCCCAAATAATTTCTTTATCTAACTTTGTTTTTAATATTGTTAAAAGGTCCCAAATCAACTACTAACGAGACTAAAATTAATAGAGTATATACATTTAGAGCATTTTTTACTTACAAATTATTTTTGTAGGTTGAGTTAACCTCATAACCTTATTTTTTTTAATAAATATATCATCTATCCTATCAGTACTTCGTTTTTTTTTCTTTCTCATTGTAATCAAGTATTGTCTTTATTCCTATGTATAAGATTCAATTATTCAATTCACTAAGATTAAAAAAAGTAGTCAATTTAATTAATAATAATAAATTTGTCTTATTTATACATATTTTTTTTAATTAGATTTATACTTTCTCTTTCCTAATTAATACTCGTATATGTTAACTAACTAAAGTGCATGTCTTATATTATTTATCTCCTAATTAATATTCATATCTAATTGATTAAAGTGCATATTCTTTAAAGAATTCATAGTTAATGGATTTTACTAATTTAAGAAAATACACTATAATTACAAATATTTTAATTTAAAAATAATTAATATATGAGAGTTAATATAAATTGAGTTTTATATAAAAAAATAATTAATTATTTTGAATTGAATCTTATAAATAAAAACGAATGCAGTAACATGAAAAAGTATCGATAAATTAGGAAAATAAATGAACATACATACCAATTTGTGAACCTGAAGGTAGGGTTTCCACAGCCTCTGGTGTTGATGATGGTGGGTAATGAATTTGCTGAAACGGGAGTGGCTGTATATAAGGAGAATTTTGCATAGTTGGTGCTGGGTATTCCAAAGTAGGCTTTGGTTCATCCGGCGCTTGTATGAGCCCCTTCATTGGGCGGGAGGTGATCAATTTTGTTACAGTCTCACTGTAATCATCGCCAGACATGTTTGCCAATACTTACATACTCCTTCGTATCTTCTATTGAAAACCCAGGGGGCTAGCTATTTAATAACAGAGAGGGAGCAAGAAAAAGTCTTCCTAATAGGAAATTATTTAACAAATAAATAATAGAAAAATCTTATGTTGTCAGCTTTCCATTTGTGTGTTTAGTACACCAAGAAATTTTCATGTCCGGGAATAAATTGTAATTTATAAAAATTATAAATATTTGAAATTATTAACCAACATTAATTAATTGAGACAATTCAAAAATAATAATTATTTATATTCTTTTAATCATATTACTAACATTCAAGTCTTAATTTTGAATATATAATAAATTATATTAGATTATTTTAGTTTCTACCATTCGAACAAACAATCTTTAATGTAATAATTTTGATAAAAAAAAATATTATTTTAGAATATAAATAAAGTTTCACGTCGTTTAAATAAAAAAATAAACATAAAATTATATACACATCACGACAAGTAATATCAAAGTTGATAATATAATACACTAGAAAAATATAATCAAAATTAATACAATCTACTTTATCAAATTAACTATTCATTAATTAAAATTAATATTATATTGAAATATTAGGAATTAAAATTATATACACAAAATTTAAGTTAAATACGAATCATACCGTGTTGATATAAATTTATAATTTCTATGAATAAAAAAAAGAAAAAAAACATTATAATAATTAATATAATCTACTTTATATAGTTAACTAGACCCTTCATCGATATTGAAATATAATCATATTGAGACAAAACTACATTAATTTTGTTCAGTTTTTCAAATAAGTTTTAGGGTCACATTATAGTCATCACAAAAAATGAGCTGTCAAGTTAATTATTTTGATGATAAAGTGCAGAACCTTGGAAACATTTTTTTTTTAATTTATGATGAAACATTTTTGGTTGCTTAAGAACAAAATAAAAGCAATTTATATACGAAATGATTGAATGAAAGTCAACTGTATGATCTAAAATTTTAATATGACCAAATTATATAATGTTTAAAGCTTTGGATTCCGCCGTCTCATATTAGTGTAGTCTATTTCTTTCAGTTTTTAAAAGTTGACCCACCTATAATAGGCTTCAAATTGCACTATAATAAATCCCACTCTTGCGTGTGGAGAATGCTATAACATCTATTGTAACACCAAAATGTTTCAGTTTATGATATAATATTGGCCCACTTTTCCTTCAAATCTCCATTCTTTATTGTCTAGTATATGTAGCTTATATTTAACAAAAGCCTCTTTCTTCCGAATATAATAATATATTAGGAATATAATACTTCCGAGCAATTCGCGTGATGCTTCCTAGTTAATATTTTGAAATCTTATACCACTAAATGCACTGATGTTTGTCAATTTTGAAATGAATTGTGAAACGAATAAATGGAGCCAGTTGCGAATAATTTTTTTCACGTGCATGTGAGAGTTAATATAATTATCTCTATATTAATATAATATTGTCTACTTTGATCTAAGGTCTAATAGTTTTATTTTTATCATCTCTCACAAGATTTTATATATTAATAAAGATTATATGTGATTTATAAACTTTTATTTCTCCTTATGATTTAATAATGTGTGACTTTGTTTGTATGTCACTGATTTACACATATTTGCACACCAATAATCTTCATTTCTTTCAAGTGTGAGTGTTTTCTACATAGTATGCTCCCCATCAAACGAAAGTCTTTTTCCATTCATAAGTAATCATGAAAATTTGGCCCATATAATTTAGTCATCATTATAAATAAGCTTTAGATACTTGTGCTATCGTTGACTCACATCAATAAGACACATCACTTGACCTCCACACTGCCAAAATATTTTTTACATATATAGGAGATCTCATATTCAAATCAACTGCCTTCCATTGCCTAATACTTGTTCGAGCTAGTCGTTGGATCAAGCTTTATGGAGAAAAGAAAGACACTAGAAGAGATGTTGAATAATATCTATCAAAAACTCACTTTTTCAAATCAGTATAGTAGTATGAAACACTACAAAAATGCAGATGAAAAGTTAATCAAAAGAACATAAAGCATTTTTATATTGATTTATCTTAACTATTGAGGCTATGTTTAATTTTTAATCAAACACAATCAAGTTTCACTATCTTCGTAGAGAATTAAATATTATTTCACAAGCCACTTTTGGCTCAACCTAAGTATTTTTCGACTTATCTCTTGAAGCAACTATTCAAGTATTCTTTGACACAAAGCCTTTCTAGGCTTTAAACATAAATATTCTTTTACATATGTGCCTTTTTAGGCTCAACAATACATGAGTATTTTTTAATATAGTAACTTCTCCACACTCAAAACAATAATACAAAGTTAAAGTTGGGTAAACTAACAATGTTGTTTTTCCTTACTTTCAATATAGATTTTTTTACAGAAAGAATGAGTATGATTTTTACTATATATGTTTTCTCTTCATCTTCCTGGATTTTAAAATTCCTTTTATAGATACTTCAATGAAGATGACCATTACGAATCCTTGAGTGTCATCACAAGCTTGATTCGTCTGTCTTTAATTTTCCTTTCCTTATGGAGAAAAGTGTCTATTGGTACATTAATTACTTACATTTAATGAATTTCACAAAATTGTTACTTCTTATCTAATCAAGAAAACTACTTATCACCTTTTTGGTACTAAACAAGTGGAGTCATGTGTGTGTCAGTTCAAAAAAAAATTTCTAATGATTTCTGTGATTCAAGAGATTTACTTGTATTTTTTTATTTATGAAAAGCTTGTTTTTCTTCTCTTTTGTCATTGTAGGTATCAAGAAAGTAATTTTCCTTCGATCTATTTAGGAATAATATATACAAAAATTAACTTAGTTATCAAATATCATAAATGATATTAATTTAGAGCAAATGCGTTTCAGATGAAGTGTTTCATCTGATAGACATTTATGTCAAAATAACTGATTGTCTTATTATATTTGTTTTACAACACATTTGTCTTAATTGTTGATTAAAAGCTTTTTTTAAAAAAAATTTATGTTTGTTATTATTAAAACTTTATAATTTGAGGGATTCAATATCATCATTTAACTTAAGAAACTTTGATACTAATTATTAAGAACAAGAACTCATCTTTACGCATAATGATGGGAGAATAAAAAAAGAAAGAAGCAATACCACAACGAAATGGAGAAAGATCTTATAAAATTATTTAATATGGTTCAACCATTTGCACCTATATTTACGACAATATTTCAATAAATATTCATTATCTCAAATTAATTTAATGTAGTTCGATCATTTGTGTCTTAGTCCACAATAACATTTTGTTTGATTATCCTTTTTCATCTAAGGTGGTGACTTCCTATAAGGCTAGGTAATTCTTTTCATGTTAAAAACCTATATTTATTGACCTTGCATCCTAACATTATAAGAAAAAATAAATTCCAAAATGAATATAACATTTTCAATTATAAATAGCATGGATATCAATATTGAATCGACCGAGAGGGCTTAGGGATGACAATGGGGAAATTCAGGGTTAGGTTTTTTTCTCCGTGCCTCCATCCCTACCCTCACAAAAGGCGAGATCGTTTTGGATTCAAATTTTAAAGAAGTATAAGTATATTTTGAAAACCAATCCTCATTTCCACTTGGTTTTTCTGTGAAAATGTAGCGGGACTAGTAGAGAGGAAGATAGTTATATACCACTCAATCTCCCAAGTCGAGAATAAATTGTACTCATACTTGGTCAAAACGAGTTTTCTCCATCAAAATTAGGTTGAGGTCGAATAGGTACCCATGAGTGCAAGTTTACTTGTTAGCTTAATCAATCTAATTCAACTGGGACCCAGTCCCTAACCGTTTCGATTGATTTATAAAACCATTTTGCTATGAGCATGTGAAAAATTGGTAGAATCGATGCAAAATCGGTCAATATCAATAAAAATCGTCTAATTAAAAACTAATTTTTATTTTTAATTTAATTTAAATATTTAATACCTCTCTATTATTTATTATAAATAAAAAAAATAATTTTATACATATTAAAGAAACTAGTTATTTGCATTAAATTTTATTAATCTCATAATATATTCTTCTTATATTGTCCTTGTTACATTGTTGAAAGAAGTAGTGCAATTAAAAGGTCATGTACTAAATGAGAGATATTTTACTAAGAGAATCATTAAATAAAACAAAAATAATTGAAATTGGACAAAACTTAGGTATGATTTAGGTGGTGTAGTGTTGTTTTCCAATCAAAATTAGATATTTACTTTAGTAATATGTGCAAATGAATATTAACAATATTTGCATAAAATGCAAGTGCATATTAGCTAAGTAAATCACCAATTTTGATTAGATGACAACACCAACCACACTTAAGGAATTGTACCTAAATTTTATTTAATAAAATTTACTTATTTTAAAGAATAAAAAAGTGTGGATTTTTTTTAATAGAAAAAATATGAAGTAAATATTTAATAAAAAATCATAATTAAAAATAATTTATTTTTAATTCTTATCTTATAAATATAATTTAATCGTTTATCTTAATTTTACAATTTTTAATATCTTTATTTTTTTATAATTAATATTATATTAATTTAATACTTTTTATTTTAAATATAAACTTATTATTAATAAACATTAGTCGTTATATTTTACTCAAATTTAAACTTAAATTTCTTATTATATTTAGTTTAGAAATTTTCTTATACATTGGATATTGGAAATTTATAAATATTATTTTATTTAAATTATTAGTGTTATAAGATTATGATATTATATTTATTTAATATTATTTTATTAATATTGATTAGAGTACGGTATAATTATACATTAAATTTTGAACTAGTTCCTAAATAGATTCAATAACCAAGCCGATTTTAAAAATATTAATTGATAAATAACATTCAAAAGAAATAATATTTTTTTTATAGCAAAACAATAGTTTAGAAGTTCGAAAATTGAAAATTTGTATTATTATTCCAATAAAATGTTAGACATATAATTACATTAAATATTTTGTAAAAAATATTATTATAATAAT